CAGGAAAGTAAAAGTCTAGCAGTGTTGCTAGGGGTCAGTCTGGGAGCTGGAAAACAATAAAAATAGATCAGCAGCTTAGAGCAGCAAGGCTGCAGAAGACTCGATTTGAAAAATCTGATGCTGGTAGCTACTCACTCTGTTTTCTGTCCTTTAGGTGCTGCTCAGAGCCAAACTGGAGAACAAAAAGAACAGCAGCTATGGGAACTCCGCATGAAAGAACGCAGGCAGAGAGAAGAACAAAGGAAGAGTGAACGGCAAGAAGCTCTAGAGAGAGAAAGAAGAGAGCTGGAAAAACTAGAGCAGGAGCGGGTAATGTGTCACTTAAATCTCTGTATACGTTTCTCCAGTGGACACCTTCAGCAGGTACCTTGAGCTCAAGGCTGTGAGCCAGTAATGCTGTGAGGTCAGAGAAGCAGCAGGTGACCTCAAAGGCATTCTCTTTCCTCTCCTGTTGTACTCCTTCTGAGCAGCTTGGTTTCGAAAAGACATCCACATGTACTCTAATCTGTTGTATAACTTCCCTCTGTATATACACTCCAGGACAGCCAGCTCACCAGCTAGAAGAGCTAGGGCAAGGAGGTGCATCTACTCAGTCCACAGTGGCATCTAGGCACACACATCATTGTCTACCTCTCCTTGTCTTTCTTGTTCTCATTTTAGTGCAAGGCAGATAGATTACTCTTGGCTACTTAACATGCTTTAAAAATGTTTCTTGGCCTCCAAGTTAATCCCTTCCTTCCTTGAAATGACATGTTTGTTTGTCTGATAGTTCATTTTAAACACACATGTCTCTGGTATGCAAGTCGTGCTTCCAGGATAAGGATCTTACTGTATGATTTTTAAGACTTTAAACTTTTAAAACATGTTCATGTATTTCCTCTTTTGGCACTGGTCTATTTCTAGAGGATGATCGAAGAGTCACTTAAGATCGAGATGGAAGAAGAATTAGAAAAGAGTGTTCAAGACCAGAAAGACAAATCAGCTCATGGTGAAAATCCTTTAGAAAAATACATGAAAATCATCCAGCAGAGACAGGAACAATCAAGTGCAGATAAGGTGCCTGTGCTATGGATAGCAATCAGATGGTGGAGGAGAGGGGAGGCACTGGGGAGGCTTATCCCAACCTTGGTTCATGTGCTCTCTACTGAAGTCAGAAAGATTAAACGCTAGAAAGTGAATACTTGAAATAGAACCAGGATTCTGTAAAACACATACACTGCTGACGAAATTTCAACCTTAGTAAGCTAAAACTAAGGTAAAACATTAAAGAGATTCTAATTTGTAATTTTGTATCTGATAGGTTATTTTATTTGATGTTTCATTAAGTTATAGATTGTGAAACATTTTTCTGTCTGAAATTATAAGTACTGAAAATACATGCTATGGATTATTTTGATGTGCTTGCTAAGTTTCACTTTAAAGAGGCCTTTTCTTGGGCTCTTATATATGTTTCCAAAATAGTTATTAGAGAAATCAAAGTGTGCTAATTCTTGGCCTTTTTTGAAGTTAACGTGTTTCAAAATTTTTCTTTCTCCATCCTGTGTCAGAGTTCAAAAAAATCGGGCAAAGAATGCTCACTGGTGGACATGATGCTGCCTAGTGACAAGGATGAAAGGTATGACTTCCTTCAAACACTCTGTCCCTCAGGAAAATCAGTATTGCTCATGTTGTCAGCTAAAAATGATCAGATGGTTGGGCTTGCCTTAAAGAAATCATTGGATCAGTAAAAATTGCTACTTTTGAAAGTTGGGTATGGTAGTATATTCTGTTAATTCCAGCATTCGGCAGCCTGAGGCAGGAAGATCAAGAGTTTGAAGCTAGCTAGGACTACATAGTAAGACTCTCAAAAGTTACGAATTTAAAAGGGATGGGGATTTACTTCAGTTAGTAGAGTGTTTAACTAGAAGATAGAAATCCCTGGGTTCAATCCCAGACACTCATAAACAGGGCATGGTGCCACATGTCTGTAATTCCATTACTCAAGTAGAAGCAGGAGGATTAAAAATTTAAGGTCAGGGGCTGGAGAGATGGCTCAGTGGTTAAATGCGCTGATGCTCTTCCAGAGTTTCTGAGTTTAATTCCCAGCAACCACTTGGTGGCTCACAACATCTGTAATGGAATAAGATGCCTTCTTCTGGTGTGTCTGAAGACAGTGACAGTGTACTCATATGCATAAAATAAATAAATAAAATTTAAAAAATTTTTAAGGTCAGTTTTGGTTATATAGTTTGGGGCCAGCCTGAGACACAGGAGACATTGCATTAAAAAAAACAAAACAGAACAGAATAAAAAGCCATTGGCTTAAAAAAGTCAATTGTGATTTGACTTGTGAAATTGACCCTGATACTAATTGTAAGTGAGGGCAAAAATACTACAAGAAAGGAGTAGGACCATTCTGAAGATCTAGAGCAGTGCTTCTCAGCCTTCCCAATGCTGTGACCCTTTAAAAAAATGCCTCGTGATATGCTCTCATCCTAACCAGAAAGTTATTTTCATTGCTATTTCATATCTGTAATTTTGCTACTGTTATGAATTGTAAATATATGTTTTCCGATGGTCCTAGGTGACCCCTTTGAAAGGGTTGTGACCTATAGGTTGAGAACTACTGATCTAGAAGTTGGCATGAATTTTTGAAATATCTAATTTTTCTCTTTAGTTCTCCAGGCTTTTCTCATGAAGAACCAGATGACATTTGGTAATCACATTAGCTGTCTAGTTTCACACATACAAGAAGTCATATGTGTTCTTGTTTTTCTGTAATTAAAACTGTCAATAAAAAAACCTTGTGTATAGTGTTTTTTTTAACATTGTTTTAGTTTGGTACCATAATATATGAGACAACAGGAACAGAGTCAAGTGAATCCTTCCTCCACCCCTTTTATTTTTTGAGACAGGATCTCTCTGAAGCCCTGGCTGGCCTGAACTCATAGATTTACCACCTCTGCCTTTCTTTTAAAGCATGCATCACCACACTTGGCCTATGCAATCCTCTCTTCTCTTCTCTTCTCTTCTCTTCTCTTCTCTTCTCTTC